GAGGGGAGATGCAGGCCCAGCTCAGTGCTGGGGGGACTGCAGGTAAAGGGATACCTGGGAAAAGCCCTGCAGTCCACTGGTGACTGGAGCTGTCCCATTAGGTGTTGTGGGCTCAAAGGCCTCACATAAGAAGCAAAACCCATCACCCACTGCCCACTCCTCACTGTAGCTCCTCTCCAGGCCCTCGCTGTGCCAGCCTGCTTCGTTTGGCAGACTGCACCCCTTAGCCACAGGTGCTGGGGAGGAAGGGGCTGACGGGGCAGGGGGCAAGCCAGCAGATAGACAGGGTGTGGGGCTTCTGGACTAGGGTCCTGGGGTCTGAGTCACCGCTGGCCCCAGCAGCCCAGGGGGGTCCACAGACTCCCTGGAGGAGGTGAGGGCTGGTGTCCAGACCCTTGACTCCCGACATTTCCCAGACCTGCCTCTCCTGTCCTCTCATACTCACCAAGCCCCCTTCACCTGGCCCGATTCCATCTGCCCGCCCCATAGGAATGGAGTGTTACTAGCCCCCCAGGTACCCTTCTTGCAATCTTGCCCCCACCACACCCTAAGAAGTGGCCCCCTGAGAGTCTGTCCCCCAAAACTAGAGTCAGTGCTGCTGCATTTCGGCTAGAGATGGAGGTGAAACTGGGAGGACCTCCTGCTGTGGGTGGGCCTTGCAGAGCCTTCAACAGTGAGGCCCTGGCCAGTGTGACTCAGTTGGTTGTGCTGCAGCCCATGCCCCAAAAGGTTGCAGGTTCCATTCCCAGTTAGGGCACATGCCTGGCTTGCAGGCTCCAATCCCCAGTAGGGAACGTGCAGGAGGCATCGATGGATCGATCGGTGTTTCTCTCTCTCTCCCCCTCCCTTCCTCTCTCTTTAAAATCAAATTTTAAAATATTTTTCTAATAAATAAATCAATATATTTTTATTGATTTCAGAGAGGGAGGGGAAGGGAGAGAGAGAGATTGAAACATGAATGATGAGCCCTAACCGGTTTGGCTCAGCGGATAGAGCATCGGCCTGCGGACTGAAGGGTCCCAGGTTCGATTCCGGTCAAGGGCATGTACCCCGGTTGCGGGCACATCCCCAGTAGGGGGCGTGCAAAAGGCAGCTGAATCGATGTTTCTCTCTCATTGATGTTTCTAACTCTCTATCCCTCTCCCTCTCCCTTCCTCTCTGTAAAAAATCAATAGAAAAAATATATTAAAAAAAAAAAAGAAGAAACATGAATGATGAGAGAGAATCATTGAAGAGAATCATTGATCGGCTGCCTCCTGCACGCCCCCTGCTGGGGACTGTGCCTGCAACCTGGTCATGTGCCCTTGACTGGAACCGAACCCAGGACATTTCAGTCCACAGGCTGATGCTCTATCCACTGAGCCAAACCGGCCAGGACTAAAAATATTTTTTAAAAAGAAACCCCTGGACCTTTGGACAGGGTGAGCACGGGGTAACCCGTCCCTGTGATCACCATCCCTGTGGGAAGGAGGCTGAGGCCCACTCTGCAAGCCCAGCCCCAGGTGTGGACCAAGGGCCAGCTCCCAGTGCCACCCCGTCAGTCCTCGGGGTTGGATGGGATAACATTACCCCTCTTCTTGTGGGCAAGTCCACACGCCAGACACAGTGCACCTCATTGTTAGCTGGCCACAGGCCTTTGTAACACTGTAGCCTCTGCCTCCTTCCTTCTCTCTCTCCCAGTAACACAGTAACTCACTCCTGTCAGCCACACCCACATTTCTGGGCCGGGCTCCCCCCTCTCCCCAGCTGTGTTTGGGCTGGGCCTCAACACTGTAGCCTCTGCCTCCTTCCTTCTCTCTCTCTCCCAGTAACACAGTAACTCACTCTGAGTCCCTCCTGTCAGCCACACCCACATTTCTGGGCCTGGCTCCCCCCTCTCCCCAGCTGTGTTTGGGCTGGGCCTGGGTGCCCACAGTGCCTGCCTGCTCCTCACCAGCTGCTGGGGTAACATCTGAGCCCGCCAGGCCTGGCGCCAGGGTCCCCGACCCTGACAGGAGTCCAGGAGCCTCGTGCGCCAGGTGGGGGCCTGTCCCAGCTGTCAGCACCCATGATGGATGAGGAGCCGGGCAGGGGGGAGGCGAGGACTGGACTCCTGCCGCAGAGGGAGGTGGGGGCTGGCCCCCGGGGGTCTGCCAACAGAGCCTCTGTCACTCCCAGCGGGGGGCCTGGGAAAGGGCCCCCACCCAGCAGAGGTGTTTAAAGGCTCAAAGGGTGTGTGCCCTCCCACTCTGCCAGGAATCATGGGCACCTGGGCCTTCCCCGCAGCCCTTTTCCTGCTCTGCCTGACTTCTGAAAGCCTGCAAGGCGGTGAGGGCAGGCCTCGGGCAGCTACAGGGTCTGGGCAGCTGGGGTTGGAGCTGGGGGTATAGGTAGAGCATTGGGTCAGAGGCTGGGGCTCCAAGGGGGAGGAGTGGGTGTGTGAAGTCTGGGTTTTGGGGGGCTGGGGTATATATGCATGGGTCCTGCCCCTCTCTGCCTCTGGGTCCCCACTCTGAGTCAGCACTCCCTGCTCCCCAGGGCTGCCTTCATTGTCGTCTGGCCTAGGAAAAGGTGAGTGGATCCTCCAGGCCCTGGGGTTCAAGAAGAGGACCTGGTCTCTCCTCCCGGGGGTCTGGGAGCTCTCTGGGGGCAAGCCCCACAGATCCCCCAGCTCTGGGATCCAGACGCGGAGCCCAGGAGAGCAGGTCCCTCCCTGTCCTCCTGGCAGTCGGTCTTGTCCAGGGTCAGCTCAGGTGTGGGAAGCACAGACCTGAACCCTTAGAACAGAGTGAGATGGGGCAGAATTTCAGCTCTGGGCGTGAGAACGTGGGAGCCCAGAGGAGGGGCTTGGAGCTGGGTCTGGAAGGGCAGGGGGACTGGGTTATAACCGGACAGGGAAGGAAATCGCTGGAAGCAAGAGGGTCAAAGGCCTGGAGGTGGGACAGGATGGGAGGAGAGGAGGCTGGTGCGTGGGGAGGGGAGTGGGGGGCATCTTACCGGCGGGAGAAAGGGTTCCCTCCGGAGACCTAATGTGTCTAAGCTGCTGGAGAGAAACGCTGAGGGACCGGGGTGAGGAGGATAAGATTTCCAGGAAAGGGGGGTCCCAAAGATGCTCCAGTGAGCATGGAGGGAAGAGGTGCACACACCCCTGAGGAAGAGGGCATGGGGGCTCCCCCCCACCGCCCCTGCACAGCCCAGACAGCCCCCTTGGCCACCAGCCTGCTCACCTGGTTCTGTCCTTGCTCCTCCTGTGACCAGAGTAGAAAGCGAGTCCCGGGGAGGAGGGGGTGCACTCTTGCTCTGCAGGGTGGGAGGGGAGACCCGGATTTGGCCCTCCTTGCCCCTCCCGGTTACCCCTTCTCCCTGACCTTGCAGGCTTAGGGAGCCCGAATGGCTACAGACCAGGTAAAGCTGAGGGGGTGGGCAGAGCACCCTGGCTCCTGGGCCCTCCTGCCCCCTTCGGCCCCACACACCATCCCCCCCCCCCGGCTACCTCCCCCCCAGTGGCCGGGGAGTAGGTAAGGGGTGGGTAAATAGGATTTGGGGGGCAGCCATCTCGGAAGTACCTGACACCCCTCAGGCGGAGAAGCCCACCTGAGACCCCTTCCAGCAGGCGCTCTCCTTCCCTCCTGCACACACTGCCCCCCACCCCCCACGAATCCATCCAGGCTGTTGTGGTGTCACCTAACGCATGTACCCTGCCCCTCACTGCATGGCCCCCAGGCCAGCTGGGAGCAGGCTTTGTGGGGGTGGGGGGAGGTGAAAGGGGGAACCTGGGTCCCTCGCCTGCTCCCTGAGTCTCCCCCCAGGCCTCCTGGGGTATTAAACTTCAGAGCCCTGCCCAGCCCCCGCTGTCTCTCTCTGTGTCTCCCCACCTCCTCTCACACCCCTCACCTCTATCTGTCCTCCCAGGATTTGGGGACAGGAATGGCCTGGGAGTCCAGCCAGGTGAGAGTGATGGGGTCTGGGTTGGTCCTCTCCCTGCTCCCTCCCAAGCCTCAGAGGGGAGGGGTGGTGGTGGTGGTGAATGATTGGGGGGGCGGGGCCGGGAGATTGGGAGCCTTCAGGTTTGCGGTTTCTGGCTGGGCCCAAGGATCCTGCACACCCACCCCATCTAGGACCCCCAAACCTCCCAGACCATTCCCCCCTCTCCCCATAGCCCTCCAGCTCCGAATGGCCACAGCACTGGGAGAGGTGGGCCCAGAGTGTTTGGGGGGAGTTGGGACCAGTATTCTAGGGGCACCCCTGAAATGGGGTCTCTTCAGACCCTCACCTGATCCATCTCCTTCTCAGGCATTGGAGGGGGGATGAAACCCCACAAGCCAGGTGAGCCCTCCAGCTGCTGTCTCCCATCTGTGTGCCCTGATGCCCCGTTGCTCTCTGCTCCTTGCTGACCCTCCTGCCCTGTCTCCTCAGGGTTTGGGAATGGGAACGGGCATGGAGCAGGGGCCTTCCCAGGTGCCGCAGCCCAACCAGGTGAGATGGGGCGGGGGGATAGGGCTGGGTCGGCATTAGGGGGTGCCTATCCCAGGCTCCCCCAGGGCAGAACTGGTGACTCACTGGAGGCAGAGGGAAGGACGTTGAGGGTTCCTGATATCTGGTTTGAGGACGGCAGAGCAGGGTACCCCTGCTTCACCCTCACCCCAGCTGGGACCCCAAATGCCCCCTGCCCTGCCCCTCAGCTCAGCATGGTTATGGAGCCCTAGGAAGAGGCTGGGCCCCTGGGGTCCCCTCATCTGCCGCATCTCTGTTCTCAGGCTTTGGAGGGGGGGTGAAGCCCCAGAAGCCAGGTGAGACCCGCTCCCCACGCCCACCCCTCTGTCCACCTGACATCTGTCTGGATGCCTTTGGAGCTGCTCCTCCCTCCTCTTCCCTCCTCTTCCCTCTTGGCTCTGTCTCCCCAGGATATGGAAATGGACTGGGAGCGGGTGCCTTCCCAGGGCCGGGAGCCCAGCCAGGTGAGGGCACCCGGGCTCCACCTGGGGTTCAGGGAGGGAGGAGGTGTGGGCAGAGCTGGGACCCAGGAACCAGTAGGGGAGGGAGTTGGGTTCTTGGGGGAGGACAGCAGGCTCAGCCCCTCTGTCGCCCCCCAGGCCTGGGAGGGGGAATGAAACCTCCGAAGCCCGGTGAGTGGAGAGCCAGCCTCGCCCCTGCCCCTTTCACCCCAGTTCCTCCGTGAGCCCCAAACCCGCCCACCTCAGGGCTGCAGCCCCCACCTCTGTGTCCCCAGGATTCGGGAGCACAAATGGTGTAGGAACCAGCACTTTTCCAGGGGCAGGATCCCGGCCAGGTGAGGGCGACGGGCAGGCAGAGGAAAGGGGGTTCAGGGTCAGGGTCTGCATTCCTGGGGGGCGGGGTCAGTGTCGACCTCTCTCCCTCTCTCTTCCTAGGCCTGGGAGGGGGGATGAAACCTCAGAAGCCAGGTGAGTGGAGGCCACTCCCTCTCACCCGGTGCCAAGCTCTGGCACCATTACCCTCGCAGGGCAGCTCCCTTCAGAGGGCTGGTCTTGGGGAGGGTCTCCCAGATTCCCAGGCCCTTCTCACACTGGCTCCCTGAGAGGAGCTGTCAGGGAGGGTGGGCACCGAGGTCCTGGGACGAGGACAGCACAGGTGTGAGCCCACACTCGCCCACCCGCAGTCTCTGCCTTCCCTCTCGCCACAGGCCCTGCCCCTCCACATGGTGGCCAGGCACCAGGTAGGCGATGGGGTGAGAGCTGGGGGCACCTGCTTCAGTTTGGGGAGTCGAGGGCGTGCCAGGCTCCTTTACCTGGTCCCCGTCTCTTTCTCAGGAATCGGAGGGGGTGTGAAACCTCCGAAGCCAGGTGAGCCCTACCCAGTCCCCATGTCCCTGCAGTCGTGTCTCCCATCCGTCCCCCTTCCCCCCTGCCCCCTGGCGGAACCTGACCTCCTTCCTCTCCGTCTCCCCAGGATTTGGCAATGGGAATAAGATGGGAGCCAAGGCCTTCCTGGGAGTCGAAGCCCAGCCAGGTGAGGACACCTGGGCCAAGCTGGGGTCCCGGGAAGGAAGAGGGGGGAGGAGCTGGGTGATCAGGAGGGCGGGAAACTGATTTCCGTGGGGTGGGGGTGGGGGGCCACACATGGCCCAGTGGCACCTGGTCTTCCCCAGGCTTGGGCGGAGGCCTGAAGCAGCAGCAACCAGGTGAGCCCGTGAGCCTGCCCTCCCGCCCCACCTTCTCGATTCTACCCCTGCCCATCCCCAGACCCCCCTCACTGCTGCTTCCCGCCAGGACCTGGCCCACTGGCAATGCGTCTGGGGGAGGGAGTCAGAGAAAGAGCCCAGGATCCCAGGCACCCCTCCCCACCTCCTGCTCCCGCAGAGGGACTCATTCCTCTCCCTCATCCTGAGTGAGGCCACGGCTGGCACAGCAGACACTCTGGTCGGCCTGAATGGAGCTGATGACTCCCTAGGCTCAGCCACAGGCCCCGAGCCTCACCAGCCCAGTGCCATCTCAAGGACTGCGGTCAGGACTGTCGGGCGGGGGCAGCCCTGGGAGCTGGAAAGTGAGAAGGCAGATCCTGAGGCTGGAAGGGAGCTGGAGGCCTGGGGCTTGAAGCAGAGTGAGAACCCCGCTCCTGGAGGCTGGTGTTTCCAGGGCTGGACCCCCTGGACGGCTGGCCTCGAAGGAAGACGCAGCGGAGTTTACCACCTGGGTCTCCTGGGCCAGACCCGGAGGGCGCTGTGGGGAGGGGCCTGGGGCTCGGGTTCCTCACAGCCTTGGTCCCCCTAGTCCCTCCCTGACACAGGACACAGGCCCCCACAGTCACCTACCCCCTTTGCGAATCTAGCCAGGCTGAGTGGCGGGGAGAGCAGGGGTCCGCGGGGCAGGGGAGGGGAGGCTGGGGGCTATTGCCCCGCCAGCAGCACCCAGCTTTTCTGTGTCATTCCCCCCCACCCCATCCCTCCCCAGGTGGCGCAGCACAGAATGGCTTTGGACCAGGTATAGCAGGGACCCCTGGGGCACAAGGGCAGAAGCTGTTTCTGGGGCAGGCCCAGGGGTGGGGTTTCTGGGTCCCTGGGTTTTCATGTGCCCTGCTCATCTCTTCCCCAGGCTATGGAGGGAATGGAAAGCCCCAGAAGCCAGGTGAGCCCCACTCTGTCTAACGGCTCCTTATCCGTCTGCTCCACCCACACCCCAGATCTCTCCTCACTCCCTCCTGCTCTGTCTCCCCAGGATTCGGGAACGGGGCCCTCCCGGGAGCAGGAGCCCAGCCAGGCAAGGCCCTGGAGCTCAGGAGCAGGGGTGTTGCCGAGGGGGCTCTGGTGTGGGTGCCTGACCCTGGTTCTAAGGGGAGAGGAGGAGCGAGGTGGACTCACAGACTCACGGGCAGTGCCTTCTCTTCCTCAGGTCTCGGAGGACTGAAACCTCAGAAGCCAGGTGAGACCCGCCCTCCGCCTCTCCCACAAGAAACACTCATTGAACAAACATCCAGGGGCGGCCAAGTGCTGGAGACAGGCCCTCCCAGAGCCTGGGCACGTGGGCAGGCGGAGGCAGACAGGAGAGGAGTGCGAATGCAACTCCGGGGCCGGAATGCCCACTAGAGGGCGTGGCCCGCTGATAAATGAGGACCAGGGAGGGTGCAGGCACGGGAAAAGGCTGGGAGGCCATGGGGCAGGGGCAATGCCGATGGCTCCTGGCTGGGGAGGAGAAGGAGCCTCAAGTTCACCCTGCTGGCTGGTAGACATGGTGGCTGGCAGTGACGCCTAACCAGATGAACCAGGCAGCTAGGTATGACATTCAGGCTCTAGAAGGAGGCTGGACTCCAGGGGGAAGCCGAGGACCCAGCTGGGCGGGTCCAGGTCTGAGGTGAGAGCTAAAGGGGCCAGGCTGAGGGTAGAGGCTCAGAGAGAGGCCAGTAGCCAGAGCCCCCTCTCTCCTTCCACCAGGCCCTGCAGCTCAAAACGGCTATGGACCAGGTAGGGGCACCCTAGGGCTCTGGGGAGGCACAGACATGGGGCTCCGATCCCTCACACTCCCTGACTCTCCAGCAGGCTTTGGAGTAGGTGCGAAACCCCAGAAGCCAGGTGAGCCTCACCCCTGTCTTTTCTCTCCACCCGCCCCCCCCACCAAACCCTGAGCTCCTCCTTCAGGAGTGAAGGGTGTCAGGGGGCCAAGGACCATGGGAGAGAAGTGGGAGGCAAGACCAGGGGACCCCCAGGGCTGGCCTCAGCCCCTCAGCCCCACAGCCAGCTTTACCATCCCCCCACCTTCTCCCCACAGGCCCTGCAGCTCAGAATGGCTATGGACCAGGTAGGGGTGGGCCGGGGCTCTGGGGAGGCGCAGGGATGGGGCCCGGGCCCTCAGTGCTGCTGTCTCTCCACCAGGCTTTGGAGCGGGTATGAAACCCCAGAAGCCAGGTGAGCCTCACCCCAGCCTTTTCTCTCCGCCTCCCCCAAACCCTGAGCTCCCCTCCCCTCATTCACACCCACACTCGGATCGGATCTGTGTCCCCAGGATATGGTAATGGAAATGGACTGGGAGCCCCAGCAGGTGAGAGGACAGCCGTCCTGTCCTCCTCATTTCTCTCAGGCCTCTCTCTGTCACCCCTTCCTCAGCACTAATGCATGGAGCGGGGTCTGCATACCTCTAAGACCGTGGTCGGCAAACTGCGGCTCGCGAGCCACATGCGGCTCTTTGGCCCCTTGAGTGTGGCTCTTCCTAAGCCTTAGGAGTACCCTAATAAGTTAATAACAATGTACCTACCTATATAGTTTAAGTTTTAAAAATTTGCCTCTCAAAAGAAATTTCAATCGTTGTACTGTTGATATTTGGCTCTGTTGACTAATGAGTTTGCCGACCACTGTGCAATTGGAAAATCCGTGTTGACCCCCAGGTCTGCTACTACTTATTTTTGTGATCGTGGGCAAATACTTTTCAAAAGAAAAAGAACTAAAATGTTCTATTACAAAATTTAGACACATAGCTATCTAGTATAATGAACTATAGCTATAACATCTACAGTATACAATAGGTTCTTTAAGTTTTTTCCACATACCAAAGCAAGTGCAAAATTAAAGTAGATAAGGTTACCCAAGACATTCATCTATGGTTCAAATTTTGTTTCCACTTTGTTTTAAAGTTAATTTGTTTTAATAAGGATAGAAAGGTAACCTTTGCATTTACTTTATGGGCTACGCAAGTCTCCTTTAATGCAAAGCCTCCCTCCCTCTTTTCCTTGCATTTGTTAAACAAAACCAAGTTATATACCCTGTAAAATTGCCCATTCTGGACTCTCTGGACTGCATCCCATGGACGCCTCTAACATGTTCCTCTGTGCTGGGTGTTTCTCATTATCAGATAGATCTGGGGGCTTGATCAGATGCAGGTTTTTTGTTTTTTTCCTGGGAAGACACCTCACAGGTGGTGCTGGGTGCTCCTTTTCACTGGGTTGTACTGGAAAGCACATCGAGATTGACTAGTAAATTCAGGTCTTGACCTCCTGATCCACTCCTTTTCAATTAATAATGTTTGCAGCTATTGATAATCATTGCCTAGCTCTTGTCAATTAAGAATTGCAAAAGAGCAATATTTTAACAACACTCTTTCTGCATTAACCGGAATAATTCTACATATCCCACAGATTTTTTTTCCCCTTCAACTATCTAATTACTTGGGGGGTAAGGCATATAAATGCTTCTTTCTTTCCCAGATACCAGTTTTCAGAATAATTCCTCAATATCCTTCCAAAAATGACTAAATTTGTTCATTTCTTATTGCTATTATCATTTTGAATGCATAATTTACATATTTAAACTGTTACAATCCATTTTTGTTATGTTTATTGGTCATCAAATACTTGCAGTTGGGTCTTGAGCTTTTTATACAACACCAGTGGTATTTGAGTTGTTCTGCTTTAGTGATATTGAGGTGTTACTGTTCAATTTTTAAATGTGAAATACACTGTGGTTTTGTTGGAGGAGAGAATACCTAATGTATAAAACACTGGACTGGGACTGCATGCCTCTAACAAGAGGGACACTCCCTGCTTCAGGGGTGAAGGGTGTCAGGGCGCCAAGCACCATGGGAGAGAAGTGGGAGGCAAGACCAGGAGACCCCTAGGACTGGCCTCAGCCCCTCAGTCCCACAGCCAGCTTTATGGTTCCCCCATCTTCTCCCCACAAGCCCTGCAGCTCAGAATGGCTATGGACCAGGTAGGGGTGGGCCGGGGTTCTGGGGAGGCGCAGGGATGGGCCCAGGGCCCTCAGTTCTGCCTGTCTCCCCACCAGGCTTTGGAGCGGGTATGAAACCCCAGAAGCCAGGTGAGCCTCACCCCAGCCTTTTCTCTCCACCTCCCCCAAACTCTGAGCTCCCCTCCCCTCATTCACACCCACACCCGGATCGGATCTGTGTCCCCAGGATATGGTAATGGAAATGGACTGGGAGCCCCAGCAGGTGAGAGGACAGCCGTCCTGTCCTCCTCATTTCTCTCAGGCCTCTCTCTGTCACCCCTTCCTCAGCACTAATGCATGGAGCGGGGTCTGCATACCTCTAAGACCGTGGTCGGCAAACTGCGGCTCGCGAGCCACATGCGGCTCTTTGGCCCCTTGAGTGTGGCTCTTCCTAAGCCTTAGG